AATCGATGCTATCGAAAGCGCTCGGGGAGAAAGGTCTTCAGGACTGGCTCGAGTATCTTAAGGTAGTGCACATGGGGACTCTGTCTAGGTAGTGCAAGTCATTGACCTTTTGATGGACTCCAGTTTCGCGAGACGGCATTTACATGCTTCAATGGGCGACAGAAGAACAGTTGCTATCTTGAAATTCTACCAATAAAGCTACATATTTGGCCCCAGGCCGCCGTAGGGTTAGTGTACATGACAAAATGCCCACTAGACGGAATCTCCGCCAACTCCACACCAGCATTTGTTATCCGCGGGAGATACGATAACGTGTTGTAGGATACACCGAACATGAACATCTTTGGACACGGAAGGGCTTCAAACACCTCCAGCAACTCTCCTTTGTCGGTATAATGTACCATGGACTCGAAAGTCGGTCTGACTACCTCCGGCCTGACCTTAGAACGGAAACTTGCTGCATAGATCCCATTCCCATGGTCCGCCGATCGCCTAGTCCGCTCGATAAAGGAGGCAATGAATATCTCCGTATCGCTTGCCGGGAAGTCGAAGATTTGTCTGCTTAAGAAGCAGTCCTCTGGAGCAAGATTGCCTTTGATGTTGGTGAAGCTTAGTACTGCGCCCGGGCTACGTTGTGCTAACAGCAAGGCTGTCAAGCCGCCCATAGAGTGGCCGACAAGGTGAAAACGTTTGATCTTGTGAGCATCCAGAACCGCCTCAGCTACAGCGACGAGAAGTGGCATGGAGATGGCGCTGTAGTCGGAGCTGGCGGACGCCCCGCTACCGGGGGCATCGTAAGCAATAAAAGGGTAGTCGGAAAGGGGCGTGTGATGGATTATATCCGTGAAGTCTTCTTTGGTGCTGCCGAAGCCGTGGAGGCAGAGTATGGGATCGAGTGGCCCGTTACGGCGGACGGTAGAAATAGTTAGATTGACGTTGTTGATAACGAGGGAGAGATCTTCCCAAATAAGATGGTTAGACGATGGTGTTACGCCGCTGTAAGGCGGGCCGATTTCGGTGGTTGGCATGATTATTGTGGCTTTGATCATGGGATGCGTGAGTGTTTGTTGAGAAAATTTTCTGGAGAGACTCGTCCTTTAAAGATGAGGACGGATCAGAGGCATGTTGCCGGCTGAAAATTTCAGTCCGTATCGTGAGTAGCCGTTATGCTCTAGACACGGCAACCAATCTTTCGGTGCCGGCGATTTTCAGTATCCGCCGGAATGGGTCCTAAAAAGCGGCGCTGAGACCGAAAAGCTCGGCACCGTGAATTTTTTTTACCGTCGGCACCGTCACGCTTCGCCGAGCGGCTTCTTTTGAAGCTTGCAGACATTTGTTCGCTGAGTCATACCGTATGCTTCGTATGAAGTATCGCCTGGTCTCCGTCGTGGCTTAGCCATACTGCTCCATCAATCGCGAACAGAAAGCTGGCTAAGACTTCAATTGCCTACCTTTAGTCTCATACATGAGCTTCTCAGGCACCCGATTATGAATAAAAACCATGTGCACGTGCAGTACGCAGGGTGGAGTTCGGTGTTATGGAAACAGTGCTTCGATATCTCACTTGAAGGCTAGGCTCTCATCTTACTACACGTACTCTCACCTGAGTTCAATGACCGAAAGAAGCTGAGATTCGGTTGAGAATGCCTAGGCGAAATGACATCAAGTCTAGCTTGGCTGCACTGCCTCCATACTCTAGGATCTTCTTGGTCATTCAAGTGGGTAACAAAAAGAGAAAGAAAAAGATGATACCGGTCAACGCCAGAGTAAGGTAGTAGTAATAGTAGTAGGAAGAGGAAGAAGAGAGCTCAGGTATTGAGTGACAAACTACGTATTGTGTCACCCATTTGCCCATCTTCTGTGCGTTTGGGCTAGCTCAGTACAAGCTTCTGGGCGAGCGGGCTTCACAGGCAATGCCGAGGAAAGCTATGTATAAACGAAGTAGGCCAGTCGCATGACATGTTGAAAAACCAAAAAAAGAATGCGTGTGAGATGGAAATGATTGAGTGGGATATTGCAAGCCAGACTGAAAGGGTAGTCGATTCTGCATTTGGAAAGCGCCCAGTGTTTAGCACTTCTTACGAATGAACGAGTTGCGCTGAGCATGAACAAGTAAGTTTCGAGTTAGCTGACGACAACGAATGTTCTGAGGCCTAATGGCACTCGTTTGCGAGTAGCCGGGATGCAATGTTTGCGATGCACTGGATCCACTTCCGAATCTGCCGGCCGTGAATCCGAGTGCGGTACCGGTGTCTGATGCAGCGAAGAGCAGCATTCCGTTGTACCCAGGAGGTTGTTGCCGCTGGAGTCCTCCTGGGTGAGATGATTTCAAAGCACTGGGCTGGAGTGCAAGACTAAGCCACCAGGTGTGAAGCTTCCTCTTGGGCGATTCATCTCATAAACGACCTCGCAAGCGAAAACGAATCATCGCGACTGAGCTGGCTGCTTCAACAGTGGCCTTCGCCGACTCTCCCGCTGGAGACAATCGGTAGCATCCGCGCCGCAATCGCGCCGCAATGTACCAGAGCGGGCATCTACAAATACACGGTGAGCCTTTCTCAAACGAAGATCAGGATGCACTGCCATCTGAAGACTGCCGACATGCCAAAGCTTGTGTTCCCTCGCTTGAGACGACGGCTGACAAGGGGTCCGCTAGGTGTTTCATGCCAATCAAACACTGCCCGAACCTCTGAGGTTGAGTGAAATTGAATGAGATTGGCTGCGCGGTAGGTGAGATTTGAGTGGGCCTGGGATTGATTGTAAAGGGCCCCCAGTCGAAACTCAGTGAGCGACAGACTGTCACTGCTTCACTGCTTTCACTGGGGATGAAGTGAGCCAGCGCCTGAACGTCTATCGCGTGCCTAGGGACCCCTTGCCAAGCAGCAATTCGGCGGAGTCATGTCAGGGGTAAACCGCTAAAATAAGAATGACATCACGTTGAAACGGGGCAAGATATGCAGTGAAAGCCCCTTTCTTTCTTCCTTCCCTCCCACCCTCTGTTCGTCCGGTTCCCGCGGGTTGAGCAGTGACCTGGGTGAACAGACGGGGTGTTCTAACGCGCATCTAGAACCCTGAAATCTAGACTTTGGGCTGTAGCCCGCGTTTGGATGAGGTTCGTCATGCAGGACAGACAACATTGAGTCGTCACATGAAGCCTCGTCCGAACTCAACAAAGCTGACGCCATCGCCGACTTCAAACCTTGACGTCTTGCTCGGTCTCGCTCGTTGAGCACCTACAGTAGACAGAGTAGAGCACAACGGATGCGAAGCTGGCCAACTAGTCTGGCGCGCATTATCCTGCCATTAACCTGCAACTAGCCATCGCCAACGCTGCTCCATAGAACAAAGACGCTGTTCACTGCCGCCAAGGATGGACCGCGCGGCATCGAGGCAGTGTTGCAAGAAAACCGGAGCTCTCTTAGTCGCTTGGTAAACTCCGCTGATCTCACACAGCCAAACAGCTTCAATTTCAGCCAAGGGCTCCAAGATTGACTATTCGTTCTCGCGGCGTACCAAACTTGAGCCCAGCAGCAGCGACCCGTCGTATTAGATCCTTCTCTTCTGCCCCTGGGCGCACGTCTCGTATTTCGCTGGGCAACGTCGTTCAGTTCTTGGTTGTGTTAAGATTTGAGTCTGGACCTCCCTTGTGGCTCCTCAAGGTTCATCTCCAGAGATGATCGTTTCTAGTATATTAAATCAATCGTCTTTTCCCATCGATTCCATTTGCCCATCTGTGTCTCCTCAGTCAACCCCTTGGTCTTCAACAAACAATTCATACCGGCAGCAGCAATATTGAAAGCGCCACTTTTCTTTCCAGGCCTCTAATTGCTCTTCATTTCGTCTCTCACTACGATCTAACACCGTTCTTGCTTCCTCAAACAAACATACTAACCATTCTTTGAACCTCTAATCAAGCACCAAAGATCTCGCTCATCACTCCATCGGCATCGTTAAGCTTGCCCAGCGAGAAACCACTCAACACCATCACTATGAAGTACACCATCGCGTTTGGACTCCTCTCCGGCCTTGCCGCCGCTCAGTCGGCCACCACCTCCGCCGCATCCTCTAGCTCAACCGGCCTGGCCAGCCTCATCGCCCAGCTCCCCAGCTGTGCCGTAGGCTGCCTGAGCACCGCTGCCAGTAGCATTGGCTGCTCCGCGACCGACTTCACCTGCTTGTGCGCCAGCCAGGACAAACTCATCTCCAGCTTGACGCCTTGCGTGCTCACTGCTGGCTGCTCCACAACAGAGATCGCCGGTATGCTGCATATCCTGTCACTCGTGTCCTATCACTGCATAGGTGGCTAACAAAGTTCTCACAGCGGCTGCAAAGATCGCACCGTCAATCTGCTCAGAAGTTCAGAGCAACCCGGCTGCATCCGACCTCGCATCGGCATCGAACCTCGTAACCGGCGTCCTCGGTACCGCAGCCGCTACCGCTAGCAGCAGCGCCGCATCTGCCACCGCTACACCCGCCGCTGCCGCACGACCGACAAACGCATACTACGGCATGCTCGGCGCCGTCGCTCTCGCTGCTGCTGCTTTGTAAATACTGCATGAGCTTGGAAGATACCAATACTCTAGGGATACGGCGCATTGGAGGGGCTACGGCTTTGATTTCATGATATTTTAAATTGGGAGATTGGGCTTTGTGATGGCAAGCGACATGGTGCATTAGATTCAGTTTTTATCTGGCTCAACGTGGTGTATCTGCCGAAGAGTGTCTATTCTCGGCAATGGAACCATGGGTGATGATCGGGGCCAATTGCGCGGTGGCATTCATTCTTTTCGCGCTCAAACACGTTTACCAAGTATGAAGAAATACAGTCATGTTCATCTTTGAACACTCCCGCATGAGGAAAGAGTCAATTATAGACCCATCAAACTTTGTTGTGATTGTTGGTAGATGGCAAATTTGGGCAACCAAATTAAATTCTGAGATGGCCCAGGAATTGAAGAAAGATTAGAGATACCCGCACACAGTCTCAGGTCTAACCTCGCTCATGCACTATCATCCCCCGCCCACCGAGCTTTTAGCCTCTCGACCAACGTCGTGATGAACTTTACATCCGTGACATCCGATAGTCCTCTCAACGTTGGACTGTCCTTCTCAGTCTCCTTTGTCAAATATGCTAGAACCCCCTTACTCGCAGAAGCCGTGCGTCCATACTTGCTTTCAAACCAATCCAGGAGCTTGATCGGCGGATTCTTCTTTGGGTCTCGTTCGGACTGCCGCAACCTATCCATCCACTGATTAGTCGGGAGTCTCTCGAACTGCAACCCAGCCTTGGACAGAGATGGAAGCATATCACGGGTCCAGTGGAAGCGCGTCGGATTAAGAATGTGGTACACCAAGTCGGGATCGGTATCGCGCTCGCTCGGCTGCGGGGCGGCGTTGGCATTGACGAGTTCCAAGATGGCCGTTGCGGCATGGTCGACGGGCAGCCAAGTCATCTCCTATCACCACGTCAAAGCCATCACTTTTTCTAAGCTGCTCACATGAGACTCACCTCGTCTAAGTTCGGCAAGGCACCAAGCGTGATAGCCGTCTGGATCATCAACGGGATACCCTCGGTCGTGTTCCATTCGCCGACCCTGCTGTCACCCACAAGCTGCCCAATCCTCAAGACTCTTGTAGGCGCACCAGCGTTCAGGTTTGCATTGCGCGTGATATGCTCAGACACCCATTTGGACCGCGCATATCCTGTTCCCTGTGCCCATGCCGGCGTCGGGACCGGTCCCTCCGGCACGTTACCGGGCCTAGGCGACCCGCCTGACGCTGAGACGGATGAGCAGAAGAAGAATCGTGCGGGATTAGGTGTCTCGACGGACTGGCACAATTGGATGAGGCTGTGGACTGCCTTTATATGCTGGCCCTCAAAGCTCTGGACGGGAATGTTGAAGTTGACGGCCCAGGCGCTGTGGATTACGATTGTAAGCTTCGACTTCAGATCGGCGAGGCGGGCGGCCCCGAGACCGAAGTCTGGGAGGCCTAAATCACAGGATAGCGGCACCACTTTAGATTGTTGGAGGGGACTTAGAGATACGCCGCGCGAGGTTAGCGAGTTTGCAATGCGAGATGCTGCGGCGGCATCGTCGGGTGCGCGGACGGCTGCCCAAACTGACAATACGGTTGGGAGGGCAGCAAGTTGGGCGAGAAGATGAGCTCCTAAGCCGCCTGTCACCCCAGTGAGAAACTGTGAAGCGGATGTCAGTAATGCCTTGAGGTAGCGATGAGGTTGAGGTCACTTACCACGAGGTGCTTGTCAGGTTTTGTAGCGGCACCAGCTATGTGAGGTGAGAAGGAAGAGTACTTGGCTACCAAATCCTGCATACTTTGCAGCTCGTCTCGAACCGCTTCAATGTGACCGTTTCTCAGAGCTACGAGGTAGCGCGAAAGCTCTCGAATGTTTCCTGATTCATAGAGAACATTCTGGCCCAGCTGGCTCTGCCGACCGCCCAAATCGACTTGTCTCTTGATAAGACTCCACATCTGGATGCAATGAAGACTATCAACACCGGAAGCGAAGAAGTCTGTGTCGGAAGATGGTAAGTCGATACCCAACTGCTTCTTGAGTTGTTGCAAGAGCCAGATCTCCAGCTCTTGGCCCTCAAGAGACAAGCTGCCTCCTTCGTCTTCGTTCTCATATCTGTCATAGGCGCTCTGTATTTCTTTTTCAAATTGCTGATAGAATGGCGCCCGAATGAAGGTCCCCTTGTCAGTGCGGGGGTACTGTGTATCCGATGGAAGCACAATGAGGAGCTCTCGAGGGATGCGAGAGAAAGATTCGGCTTTCGCGTTGGCAGCCTCAACTGCCGGCCAGATTGCTTCAACGTAATCCTCATATGATAGGTGCGCAGCATTATCCGCCTTGACGATTAAAGCACCGGGATAACTTCTCTGTTCGCCAAAGACTATGGCTTCCTTGACAATCTCTTCTTGGCGAATTCTTCCTTCGATGGGAATAGGAAGCACCTTTTCGCCATTGATCAGGGTGAACCGGTCGTCGAGTCTGCTGACGTACTTCCACCAGTCTGGCTGTGTGGGATGTTTCACGAAGAGATCACGCGTGCGGAATGAGTTTGGTGGTGAATCCGAGTTCGATGTCGACTTTGACGGAATGCCATCGAGGCAGACGCACTCGTAGATCCCAGTCGAGACCTCGTCCATGAGAACGTAGGGCTTTGCGGAGGGGAGAGGACGTAGGTAGTTCCAGGCTTTGTCCCCCGGCGGACGAACGGAGTTCATCAGCCTGCCTACCTCGGTACTTGAGTTCGTTAGTTGTGGTGCTTACACGGCTTAAGAGCCTAGAGTGATCAAGGGCTGCTCTTACGATCCGTAGTTTCCGACTAGATAGACCCCGTTATTGACCAGACGGTCGCCAAGGTCGTCTGGACAGCTGCTGCCCCCGAAGAGTACAAGTTTCACACTTGCCAGAGCGCGGATGCCCTCATCTGTCTCAGCTAGTAGCTTCACGACATAGGGGACCACATGGAAGATCTCAGGCTTGATGTAGTTGATCATCTGGATCAGATTCTGTCTTGTCAGGGGCAGATTATAGTTGCCATAGTAAATAGGCTTCTTCGAGTAGATTGAGCGAAACGTCTCGTAGAACCCGTGACTATGAAATAAGGGAGAGACGATGAAGGCTCTCATGTTCATATGAACGGAAAAGGCGCCAATGCAGCTCTTGTGAGTTAGGTAGATCGGTTTCGGAAGGCCTGTCGAGCCGGAGGAGTGGATGATTGCAGCAATCTTGTTCGATTCTCGCTCCGGGTCATAGGTTCTGGAGAACACGGGCGCATCCTTGCCGTAGTAGTCAGAGTGACACAGCAGCGGTAAGATATCGAGCTTTAGTTGATGTTGAACCTCGGCCAGAACAGGATGGAAAGTTGACGTGGTGAGCATGGCGCTGCAGCTCGCCAACTCACAAAGGCGGGCGATTCCTGGGCTCTGAAGTCTTGTGGAGACAAGAAACACTGCGTAACCTAGCCTGCTGAGAGCCATGATCGTGATGACGACATGCAGTCCGGAGTGAGCGAGGATTCCTATCACGGGAGCCTTCTCAGAATTGGAATCCTGACGAGAAGTGAGCCCAAATTCAGTGGCAGCTTGACAACGAAAGTAGAGAGCTGGCGCGACTTACAACGGAAGGTAACCCCAGCTGCTGTAGTCTCTGCACCGCGGCGTCGACATATCGGTCCACAGCGCGAGCGCTGTGCTCTTCGAAATCAAGTAGGCCCTCATTAGGGTACCCAAGTAAGGGCGCATCACCAAGTTCGAGTACACGCTTCTTGATGAGCTCATCGATGGTAAAGAAAGGCCGGTCCTGGGCGGAAACCTTGAGTTGTCTCACTGCCGTTTCCAATGTCTGAGTTGCCATCGTGAGAATATGACACAACGTGGATTCATCAAACGAACGCTGGAGGCTTTCTAAGCGTAAAACTCATTTGATGATGAGAGAAAGGGGTCGGTATCTTTGGTCAACTTATGTACATTTGAAATGCAATGCCGCCTCCGGTGGACCCCCACCTGATCGGCATGAGATGCATTATCCGTGCGACAATTCCGTTCCGTCTCCGCCACGGGCCGTAGATGCAAGGTGCATACTGAGCTAGGCCTGCCGGGCGCCGAATGCTCTCAAGCGTCTCTTGCCGGCGGGGGCTTCTGAGAGAATAATGCCATCAATCAGACGCATGATAGAACCCATCAACTCAATGACATTCAATGCAGGCAGCATAGATCTCGTGGTGGGAGAAACAAGTGCACGGATGGCTTTAGACGGGGGTTTCATTGATGGATATGCAACTGGCGGACTTCAGCAATGCTCTTGACATATTTCTCAGCATGATGGTCTTGTTTCGAGTCAATAATTGTGGTGAGAGCGGCCCTTCGGCAATCGGGGTAATATCATGCTATCAAGCCCAAGAAGCTCTCAATTTCGTCAACTGCCTTCTGGTTCCCAAGTGTGTACCAACGTCTTCTAGATTCGTCTTTGAATGGTTCCTTCTTTACTTTCCAAATTTCTCTTAAGAATCACATCTCCCTACCACGGCAATGTCTTGTTACCTGAAACCGATTGTACTCAACCTCAACCTTTCCTGCGCTTTATATTGAGGCTTGTTGGAGGTATCACTATTTCTGCTCGCTATCCGTGGACAATTCCTGACACACACATGGTGAATTACATCAGTGGAGGGAAAAGGCTAAGCCCACTTGTCTCTCGGCTTTAGACGCATTCTCCTGATTCCCTCATTAGACTTTTACGGCTCAGGATATGGATAAAGTAGGTACATGTGCGTCCGGAGCCTGGTACGCCACTCACGGTTATAGACGGGCCTTATCCAGCGGCTGCAGATGGAGACCACAGCGACAACCGCCGCATTGCCCCGCTGTCACTTCGCCTGCAGTGTGAACGCTGTGAGCATGTCCAAGATACCCCACGGGGAAGCCAAGTTGACACCACTGCACCCCGGATTTGAATGTTGTGATTACCCCGGGGAAACTCAACTTGGCGCCGAACATGCATGTCCTTCAAGATGAACGCTAATGATCAATCATGTCATAAGTATGGACGTTGATTGGTGGCTTTAGCAGGGAGCTGACCATGACATCCAAGAACCTTGCCAGTATCTCTTGTTCTGATCGGCGTATACTCTTGAGAAAGCGACTTCCTAGTTGGCATGAGATGTGAGACAATGATATTGAAATTTGTTTAAAAGGCGACACATCGAACAGCCCCCAAAATTTAATTCTCATCTCAGCTCAGCCAGCATTGAAGCGAACCTATACCATTTTATCATTAGCCCCCGAATCCAGTCATGCCCTCAAACCCGCAGTTGACAACCATCTCCACCATCAAGGACCGGGACGCACATGTTGACCATATTGACTACCAAGAGATTCCCAAAGATGGTGGCACTAAAGTTCAGGCCGATAAGTTTGGATCTGTTGCCAAAGTTGATCCCAAAGAAATTGCACTAGTTCGGAAACTGGACACCTATCTCATGGTAAGGCAAAAGTTATCAAACATGAACCCCAATCCTCGTCACAATCAATGAACTCAGGGCTGATTACAAGGTGCTACTATAGCCTATCTTATGGTTGATGTACTTCCTAAACTTCCTCGACCGAAACGCAATTGTCAACGGCAAGCTCAATAATCTCGACAAAGATCTCAACATGAAAGGGTCCGAGTACAATACCTGCGTCAGCGTCTTTTTTGTTGGGTCAGTTTCACAATTACAAGTGGTATGGGCATTGTTAATACTGGAAATCCGCTTACATGTCAAGGAAGTTACATCACAGGACAAGTTCCGTCGAACATGCTGGTGACGCGCATCAAGCCGGCATACTACATGTCTGGCTGGATGATGGCTTGGGCTATCGTGTCCACCCTCATTTGTGTTGTTAAGGACTATCATGGAATGCTTGCGTGCAGGTTAGTCAGAAGTCCTCTATAAATGACCACAGAAGCCAAACACTGACAAGGTCTGTTGATTGAAAGGCTGGTGCTTGGTCTCACTGAAGCACCTTTCTACTCGGGCGCCTGCTACCTCGTGAGCTTGTTTTATACGCGGAAAGAGGTCGCGACACGACTCGCTGTGTTTTACACAGGAAACTTGCTTGCGAGCTCCTTCTCCGGTCTCATTGCTGCTGGCGTCTTCGCCGGTCTAGACGGACGGAATGGCCTGGCTGGATGGAGATGGTTGTTCTTGATACAAGGTGTCGTTACAAGTAAGGCTATTCCTCAAAACATTGCAGAAGATGACTTGAGATGAGAGTCTAACAGCTTTTTTTACAGTCGGCGTTGCCGTGGTGGCTTTTTTCGTGCTACCCAACGCCCCGCTCCAAACAAGATGGCTCACTCAAGAAGAACGCGAATTGGCCCATTCGCGGGTTGCAAAGGACACGACTGAGAAACGACAGGGTACTAGCATCTGGTCTGGCCTCTGGGAAGCCGTCACAGATTATCGCACTTGGGTATTCGCTCTTATGGGAAATCTTCACCTCTCAGCAAACAATTTCAAGAACTACTTGCCGACAGCTGTCAAGTCACTTGGCTTTAGTACCACAACGACGCTGGTGCTCACCTGTCCACCGTACCTCATTGGAGGAGCGACGTCCGTTCTGGTGTCATGGTCATCGGGAAGGTTCAACGAACGTACCTGGCATATCACAGGTTCTAAGGCAGTCGCAATCGTCGGCTTCGCGGTAGCAACGAGTACGATGAATATCGGCGCACGCTACTTCGCTATGGTTTTGTTTGTGGCGGCTACGTATGGAGTTAACAACATCAATGGTGATTATTACTTGCTCAACCCGGGCATATTGACTCGATGAGCATGGGCTAACGCATCACTCCAGTTGCGTGGACGTCGGCAACGGTCGGCCAGACTGACGAGAAGAAAGCTGCCGCAATCGCCATTGTCAATACTTTTGGCAACCTGTCTTTTGTCTACACCCCTTATTTATGGCCGGATAGTGATAGCCCTCTGTTTCGTAGAGCCATGATTGCTAGCATCGCCTTTTCACTGGGCGTGGTCTTGACAGCATGGGCTATGAAGTGCGTCTTGAAACGCGCCAATAGGAAGATCAGAAGCACCCAAGACGAAGCGATCAACCTTTACGCGTACTAGAATCAACAGGCCATGTAGGTTCTAGACTGATAGATGCCTTCATGGCTAAGTTTTTATTAGAACATGGGAACATATTCATAGTACTACGAACTCAGACCGCCAAGTATGTACGTGTCGAAGATTAAGAAGATGTTAGGATGAGGTAGGGCACTACGCCCAACCAGCGATAATCCAATCTGGGCCGTCAATGGGAGATTTAGTCGTTAACTTTGCGGTAGTCGAGCAGAATCTAGTGAAGTATTGTCAACATCCAGGCATTGATCAAACCTGAGATATGGTCCATTCCGCATACAGATACGGTGTTGTCCGCTCTGTAGTCCCTCAGAATGCTTGGTATTCTCGGTCTCAGTCACAATGGTCTGATGGCTTCCAGAGTAGAAATGGGCGAGGTTTGTCGTCCTTGCTCGTTCGTTGTAGGCCCAAAATCTCGCGTGTAGGAAGTCAAAAATCAGCTCCCGCTCTCGGCCTTCACATGTCACCTGGTGCGTAGCATGCCTCAGGATGTACTCTTCAGGTGCAGTTTGTGCTGATCGTCTGATTGCCAAGCTCCGAAGAATCCGAGATTGGTTGGAAAGTGTATAAAGGTGTGAACTTGATCTTTGTGGGTGTTGCCAGGAACGTCAATATGGTTAGGCGAATCTGAAGTTTACTGAGGGAATAGGAAAACTTGGCAGGGTATGCCTGGCTTGCGTCAGATCGGTGGATCGAATTCTGCCCAGTTTGTTACAAGGGGGTTCTGTAGGGATGGAACTCGTCCATTTGTTGCTAAACTTGACGACACACAATTGTGACAGCCACTGGCTGTTGTTCTGGCGCTGCCTAATCTACGGACCTCACTGCTGTATTACTTACAACTGCCCCGAAACTTTTGATACCAGTATCCAAATAGCGTTATTTGACCGATGCTTTGCAGTGGGATGTCGGGGGCAACACATTGAAGGCCACTCTCGTATGCCGCTTTCTTTAGTCAATATTGCGTCTTGGAAACAAGGTTCGCGCCACAGAATCCGAATATGGTTCAAATCATGGTCAAGACTACTCGAAAATCAAGGATTGCTAAGCTGATGGGTTCGTGAAACAGAGCATGCTCATGTCTACATATTTACAAGAAGGTGATGATGATGAGCAAATGGAAGTATAAAGGAACGTAGAAGCTGGCGGCCAAGGAAAATGATAGGAAAGTAAAGAAAACCATGCACACTTAGGCGCCTCCAACTCGGCGCTCATGTCCAACTCCCCTTACTTACTCACATGCGATGCCCAGTATTGATCGAGATTTTTGTACACATCGTCCACCTTGCTGTACGGGTCAGTAGCGGCCATGGACTGCACCGCCTCCTCGATGGCAGAGTCGGAGAACGGTCCAGCCCGAGTTCGAAGATCAGCCATGACGTACGGCTTCGCTCTCCAGCGCGCTTCCATGGGGTCAATGAACTTGGTCTCGTTGTATCCAAACTCTGGAAGCACAGTGACGTTGAAAGCGGCCATCATATCGCTGTCCTCGTGGATCAGGTTATGACAATGGAACATGTAAACACCGTCCCAAGGGGCGTAGTGTGCCTCAACGAGGACTGACTCGCCTCTGCCCAACCAGACAACATCTTTCAAGCCCTCTGCTTCGTAGGGCATCACACCGCGATCACCGTCTCTAGCGATGACCTTGAAGTCAACGAGATGGACGTGGATGGGGTGAGACCAACCATCTGAACTGTTCTCAAGCTCCCAAATCTCGACCTTGCCTCTAGGGACGTTGGCGAGAACACGGTTCTCAGCATCGGCGAAGCCCACGCCATTGATACGCCATTCACCGTTGGTACGATGGAAACGAAAATGGTGATCAATAACGTTGTCAGTCGATGTCGGGAAGGGAACTGTGCGAAGGATTTCTGGGACGGTGGATGTGTCTGGGCTGGATAAGGTCGTACCGACGACGAACTGCATTACTTTGTCGGTGTGCAAGTAGTCGTCCTCGACGCCGATACCGCCAGCCTTGGGGAAATTCCTGATTTCGAGTCTCTGGCCAGCGTACTGAGCGAAATCGATCACAATTTCATATCGCTCAGCTGGTGAGACATACTGAGCAAAAGTCAGCAAACTTCCGTCTTCAGTTAAATATTCGAGATTAGACACACAAGGTCTGCGACTTGCACCGGCTTTCCCAAGAGTCCATTATCGGAGCTGATTACTTGGAACGGCAGCTTTCCATTCACAGCATTGGAGTTGACAAGGTATAGCGCAAAAGCGCGGGAAACTGCTGCGTTCAAGAAACGGAATCGGTATTTCCGTGGCTCGACATTGAGAAACGGCCACGGCTGGCCGTTGACGTGAATAAGATCGCCCCAGAGACTGTCAGTCTCACCTTTGGTTGAGAATAGGGTACCATCGTCGTTATATTGCTTCGCAGAGAGAACAAGAGGAATGTCATAGACGCCATAACCAGAAGGCAGGTTGAGAGCGGTCTCTGCCTCATCAGTGATCAAGTAGGCGCCGGCCTGTCCCATGTAGGCATTCTCAGCGGTCTAAGGGTTTGAATTAGAGGTTATGCCTACAGTTACAACATGCTATGGGGGACTTACAAGATGCATTGCATGATCATGGTACCACAGCAATCTTGCCGACTGTTGGTTCGGGTAGTAGTAGTCTTTGTACTCCCCTGGGTTGGTAATATCTTCCGCCCAACCATCGAAAGGCGCACGGGAGTAGGACCCGTGAAGATGAACCGAGTTCTCGGCGGCGGCGTTGTTAATAAATCTGACGATAGACTCCGTTCCGCGAGGAATAATCAGTGTCGGTCCCGGGGAGATGCCATCGTAGCCCACCAGAGTTGCAGGGCGCAAGTTGGGATAGACCGCCTGACTGAAAGGCTTGATCTCAAGCTCGTAGTACCAAATTTCCTTGTTCGTGACTGGATTAATGATCTTTCTGGAGGATATGTCAGAAATATTGCCCAGAGAGAAGGAAAGATAGCTGATAGTCGTACTTGGTAGGTTCCTTTACAGGCGGAATGGGCAGAGGCACCTTGTAAATCAAGGCATACTCAGGGCTTTCCCAGTCTTTGAGAAGAGTGAATACATCTTCCGGGTCATCCTCCACAATCTGAGCGAGGGCTACAACTTCTGCCTCGGGAATTTGGGAAATGTGTGTATCAGTGAAGGAGGAATTTTGAGCTTGAGCTAGGCTGGCGGAGAGCACCGCTTGCAAAAGCACCACGGCCAGTTGGAACCGCATATTGTGGGAAGTAGAATAGTGACTAGAAGATCAGGGCTCCAGGTTCTTAGAATGTCTGTTGAGCAAGATATTCTGTTGGATCTGGAACACACGGGGCAAGTGATCTTATACAAGAATTAGGAGACAAGACCCAGCACAAGAAAAGACCTGGGAATTTTGCCAAGTCAGGACTCGGAACCACTTCAGCTTCGACTCCGAAGTCGGATAGGAATTGAAGGAAGAGAAATCTTCCAGTCCCCTTGCGGTAATCCGGTCATGAAGCTGATGCATGCCTTGTGACTGATGCAAGTTTTCTGCAAGAGACTTGCCTTGAAGGCCGTGATAGGAAATCAATGGCCGATGTAAGTGATGGCATCAACTGCAGAAATCGCGCACACTCACATGTCATTGCAGTTACATCGCCACTGAGCCGATTATCTTGCGATGTTTGCAATGTCCCTCATCCTACTAGGTATGCGGTGGATCTCATGTTATTGCACAAGGTGGCAGCAACTCGCAAAGACCCACAGACAAAGAGAATGGATTGTTCCCTAGAGGAGTACCATTGGCACATGTATCGTCCCTCATGATCCTTTCATTTTGAGAGTCGTATCAATGATGGGCTGGTCGCTGCTGGGATCTTGATGGTGCACGAGCACCTATCTTGGCAAACGCGGCTGGAGGCTCTTTGTGATAGTACAGTGAAACATATTTTCGCTAAGAAGATGGCAGTCTTGGATGAATGATACGCTATTGCGCTAATATGACTCGGCAGAGACTCGTGCTTGCTAAGAGTCAAAGGGCCTTGGTCTAACAACAGAAGACCATTACATTGAGACATCCAATGGGACAGGAAGTAGGCGACAGGCGTCCAAACCCGGCAATATTAGGCGTGCCACTATCATCCGGGTCTTCAGTTGAGAAATCACACCGTG